CCCGGGCAGAGGCATATTGTTTACTGATCATGGACAGTTGAAACTAGAGGCTTATACAGATGCAGATTGGGCAGGATGCCTTGATGATAGGAGATTAACTTCAGGAGTGTGCACCCTTGTTCGGGGTAACCTTGTCTCGTGGAAGAGTAAGAAACAAACAGTGGTGGCAAGATCAAGTGCTGAAGCTGAATTCGGGGCCATGGCACATGGAGTTTCAGAACTTCTCTAGATCCGTTTCCTATTAGAAGAAATTGGTGTACAGGCAGAAGAACCTATGATGTTGTACTATGATAACCGGGCAGCAATTAACATTGCCCATAACCTAGTCTAGCATGACCAAACTAAGCACATTGAAGTGGATAGACACTTTATCAGAGAAAGAGTGACTTTTAGAGAAGTTTGTCTTCCATACATTGCTTCTGATCTGCAGCTCGCTGATGTTCTCACAAAAGGTGTTGCAAAGAACAAACTTGAGCATGATCTATGCAAGTTGGGAATGTGTGACATTTACTCCCAACTTGAGGGGGAGTGTTGAGTTGGGCCTAGTTGTTTTTATTCTTATTTTATGTTATTTAGTTAGGAAGTTGTTGGGCTTTAGGCCCATTAGTTTATGTTTTTAAGTTGTGACTGTTCAGCTACATTAGTAGCCGCCCTACTAAGGGCATCCTTGTAATATCTCATCCTTTAAGCTAAGTATAAATTATAATGAGGGGTTGGCGGCTAGGGTTTATCTAAGAATCCTGGTTGACTTCCTCCTCTTTTCTTCTCTACTGCTGAAATCTTGATTTTCCTCCTCTTTCCCTTCACAAGAAATTCAACTAAATCTGCAATCAGTTATTTCTACTAAGGAGACATGAAAGATGGGGTGGTAGTTTAGAGGAGGGAAGCTCCAATCTATAGGCAACTGAACCCACTTTCTCAAGTATCTTAAATGGCCAAAGAATCTGGGGTCTATCTTATTCCATGTTCTCCTTGCCATTGAAATTTGCTTGTAAGGATGAAAACGGAGATAAACTAAATGTCTCACCTGGTAGTAGACATTGTGATCCTTGTGATCATAACTAGCCTTCTTGATCTTCTGGGTGCGAACAAGATAGGACTTCTGAACTTGGCCCGGAAAGGAGTGTGGTAAGTGATATTGTATCACAGTTCCCCCCATGGTAGCCATTTGATCCAATGCCTTGGGTGATCACCAATGAAGCAGTGGAGGTAAGTTTCTGGACAATGGTTAACTATCTGCATTGCCTGTCTGACCACAGATGGTAGCCGGAGAACTTGGTTAAGTTGTTCATGAACATTCAGCCTACTGAATGTTACCTCATTACTGGTATAATAAAACTAAATGGGAAACTCTATAAGGTGAGTACAAGTAGTTATGCCATAAACATTTGGATAGTGGGAAACAAGAAAAAACCATTTGGATGCAGCTATATATATATATATATATATATTTATTTATTTTTTCATATTCATTATCTTTTCATCCTTAATAAAATTGTCTTGGCAATAAAAAAGAAAGATAATATCAATGATTCCCCAACCACATAACCATGGGGAATTGAGAATAATTTGTACATAAATGACTGTTGTTGAGATCATATGTTGAAATGGATGTATCGAGACTAGGAGAGTTAGCTAAGATGGTTCTGTCATGTTTGACAAATACTGTTGATGATGTGGCAATGAGTGCTTTGGTGTTGGTTGAAGGCTAAAGAGAGTTTGGGGACTCATAATTTAATAGAGGATACGACCCTCAGAATGGAACACAAAACAAGATTCTTGTAGCTTATGCCTCATATAGTTTGAATAATGCTTCACTGAGTTGTTGGGCATAATTTTCCCACTTAGCTCTCTAAATTGTAAAGGATGGTTGAGTTATTTTCTCAATTCTGTGTGTGCACTCATAGAGTGTACTCTCACTTACAGGCTACAATATTACTTTAGTTTCATTCTCATGGGATCTTTTGTTCATACTTCTGTGCTTATTTTGTTTCTTTTTTCAGGTTTCTCCTTGAGTTCCAACCGTATTTTACTTACTGCTAAACATATTTGTGGATGACCTGCAGTTAAGAAAAAAAAAACACTTTGGTTTTTTGTTGATGTGATTCTTTCTTTCTTTCTCCCCATTATTTATTTATAGTCACCTGTTTCTCATCTTCATTATTTATATCTAATATTTGAGAGTAAACATAAGATTTGTCAAGATGTTGCAATGAGGTCCATTTCCACTTGTTCTTTTTTTTGTGTGCTTCTCTAGTTTGATACTGATTTGATTTCCAAGGGACTTCATTTACTATTTGAGTGGCAATGCTGGTATTAAAATTTTAACGAGTTGGGCTTCTATTACCATATTTGTTCTCTTTCTGAGCTTTTGTGATTTCTCCAATTTTCTGTTTTCATATTTTATGATTACTTTGGTTTGGCCACTGCTTGCAGTACTGTTGGTAATGTTTAACAAAGCAGCTCTTTCTTCATATAATTTCCCGTGTGCAAATGTCATCACACTATCTCAGGTAGCTCCTTATCAAGTTAATTTCTTGCTATTGAATAGCATATACATTCTACAGTTGAGTTGTTATAATGTTTGGTTTCTTATGCTACTCATCATTGTCTAACAACTACTCCATATAAACATATTAAAGTATTCAATTTTCATCTTCTTTAGTTTGAAGTTAATTTAATGATGTTCAAGAAGGAAGCAACCATTAACCTACCAGAACACTGTTCTTGATTTCTGCCTGTAAATGAATTTTATTGGTATAAAGAAGTGGATGTTGTTTGGAAATATTATGAATTCATATGTACCAAAATGAAGTATTGTACCAATATAAATGATAAATATCATCATCATCATCTAATCCTTGTCCTAACTATATCGGGTCGATTAGCATAAATGATAAATATAAATAATATACAGAATGTGTGTGTATGTATGAACATAGAGCATGTAAAATATGTAAGCATCCAAGCTTCGCAGAAGAATTTTTGCAGATTCATTTCCATCCTATATAAAAAAAAGGAAAGAAAAGAAAAAAAAAGAAGAAGAAACAAAAAAGGTTAAAAAGAAAGTAGGAAGAGCAATAGGTCTCCAGTTTAGATGGGTCATCAGAATTCTCATCAGATTTTCCTAGTACACTTTGAAAAGAGGGGTTCAAAGATATTGTGGAGCTCTAACCTGGTGATAGTTTGATTCAGTAGTTGGTGCAAGTGTAAGTGGCTTAATTGTTAGTTAGGGGTTAGTGTAGGGAGTGGGAAGATTTTAGGTTTGGATTTTTAGTTTTTCTTTCCTTTTTTTTTCAGTTGTGGGTTGTGGCTGTTTTTTTGTATGGCGCTTCATGTGTAGGGCTGGGGTTGGCAGGTTGTATCTCCCTTTTTTTCTGTCACTCTTTCTCCTTATAGGGTGATCATATATTTATGCATCTTTTGCTTCCTCCCCCCCCCCTCCCCCACTCCTAAATTCTAGTAAAAAACTTTGGTGTCAGTTTCAGTTTTCTGATAAAACATGCGCAATGAAGTTTCATGGCTTAACTATTTACAGTTTGTCTCTGGGGTTTGCAATAAAATCCATTTAAGATATGTTTTCTTTTTATCACCTAAGCATTATTTTACATCTAACCATACTTCTTTTAAATGTTTTTAGATGGTTTTTTCTTTCTGTACTCTAGTTTGTTTGGAAACTGAAGTTTTTTTTTTCAAATTTCAATTGATATTTATTGCAGATGATATGTTCATGTTTGCTTCTATATGTAATGAGGTTCTGGAAGATTATTTCTTTTACAGTTGTTGATCCCTGGGCTCTTACTGATAATTCAGTTACTCTTGTACCACTCAAGAAGTTGGTTCGCACCCTACCTCTTGCATCCACATACTTGCTTTTCATGGTATGCTTTTCATCTTCCTTGGTGGAGAATTGCCGGCTATGGTTTCTTTTCAGTTGCTGACAATACTTAGATTTTCCTCCTCTCTCTTGCTTTTTAAAAAGCTTGTTTCAATGGAATCTGTACGTGGAGTAAATGTTCCTATGTACACCACTCTTAGGCGGACTACTGTGGTATTCACGATGATAGTGGAATATCTTTTGACAAGGCAGAAGTATTCATCTTCAGTTGTTGGCAGGTGAACTGCTCTATCCCTTTGTTGTTTCTTCTAGAAAATACAGTGTCAGTGGTGTCCTGGAAACTAAACATGCTGAGTGCGCATGTGTGAACCTGTAGTTGGGTCAGTATATGTAAGGTGACAAACAGTATTCAGTTATCCTTTAATTTGTCTGAGGTGGTTATGTGAAATATTGCTATAATAGCCTGGATTTTTCTACATGACATTATTAATCCTTTTAATGCTTCAATATGAAATCCAATTGGTCTTGGCATATTTTGTCCTTATTATATTTTTTTGGGTTACCAGAATTCATTTTGATTTGATTTTACCTAAAATTTCATGCTTCTAACTCCTTGATGGAAAAATCCAAGGGCTTCATCAGTGTGGGGTTGATTGTTCTTGGAGCATTTATTGCTGGAGCTCGAGATTTGTCATTTGATTCTTATGGCTACGTTGTTGTTTTCATGGCCAACATCACTACAGCAATATATCTTGCGACTATAGCCCGGATTGGTATGCTATCTGTTTTTTATTCTTATTGGAGTTTGAAACTTAACTATTGACAAAAAAATGGAAACTGTATTACTGTCGTGTGATATTTTACTATCTTCTCAGGGAAATCTAGTGGACTCAATAGCTTTGGGCTGATGTGGTGCAATGGTAACATCCAAGTCTTATCCCAACCATATGGGGTTGGCTACATGAATCCTGTTTTGCCATTTTGTTTTATTTACTGCCATATCCATTGTTAAATTATTAGCACTTAAAATCGTTTCTCACAATTTCAACACATGTCCTTTTTGGTCTACCCCTACTTGAAGAGAGATAACTTACAAAAGGAGGAAGGGTGTACATGAGAGGATGTACAGGTCCTTGAGAGAACAAAAAGAACTAGAGCCCAAAACAGCTAATAAAGTCATATTTGCAGTATATAAAAAGTCGCTTACCAAACCAGATTTAGCTAAACCATCAGCCACTTGATCAGATTTCTAAGAATCCATCTGAAACTGCACCTCAAAGAAGAAGAAATATCGTGGATTTCATGTAGCAAGTGAGAAAGTTTCCATGGGCCTGAAGCCTGAATTTTAGCCCACAAAATAGCATTTCTTGAGTCACCTTCCACTGAGAGAGGATCGGTTCCTCTTATGGGTGTTGTCAAAGGTCTTTTATGTACATGACTCAACCATTTGTACTAGTTAAGATCTCCACATTCAAAGGCATGCATAGGGTTTCATAATCTTTTTTTCTTGTTTTTCTGGAAACTAATTCACAAAAAATAATTATCCTCCACAAAAGGTGTAGATAAGGGCAGGGTTTAGAGCTTGAAGAGAAGAAAGATGTAAGAACGTTGATAATAGCATTAAATATTGTGAAGATAAAATTGTGACAAATTTATGAGTAGTAATAACTATACAGTATACACATAATTGTGGTATTTTATGTATGTATATACTTATTGAACAAGTAATAAATGGTATATGTGGGCTTTAAGAACTTTTTCTTACATTTTATTTGTATTTGTTGCAGGAATAATATGTGGACCAGTACTGCTAATATGGACATTTTTTCATGGTGACTTGGAAATTACAATGAACTTTCCTCATTTATATTCTCCTGGATTTCAGGTTTTTCATTCACAGCAAAACATGCCTTCCTTATAACATTATTATTTCCTACTTAGGACATCTTGAGGGTATTGAAAGTCGAAACCTTGTTACTTTTACAGGGGAGCTAGGGTTTTATACTATTAGTTCTTTGATATGTCCACTCCAGCATTTCAAGCAACTTATGCAAGCTAATATTTTTTTTTTCTGTAGCTCATGGGTTTTTTCCTTATTATCTGCATACTTTGCTTATCTGATATTTATTCTCATTTTAGCGAATTATTTATTTTTTTATATCACTTTTCTAAACTAATTGTGTCATGGCGGTCCAGTGGCAAAAGTACTCACTGTTATTATTGTTTGAACAGTTATACTTTCATGTGCATTTTCTTTTCATTTTCAATTAAAGGAATATTTTTGAACCATATATACATTGATATTTGCATTCACTGCCTTCATTTTTGTGTTTATTACAAGTGGTACTGCTTTTATTTTTTAAGTTGGCGCATGGGAACCATGATTTTCCAGTTCACTCCTCCAAGACCCTAGATAGCTGGGACTAGCACTGGGTAATATCCTTTGGAAGTCCATGCTTATCTTCTAAGAATACCAGTTCAATAAGTTAGTTACTTATATGTAGAATGTAGGAGAAAGTTTATGACTTCTGTTTGTTCTTTTTGTGAACTTTAGTCTTCTACTACCAGACCTAGAAGGTAGTCAGAGGTCCTAATGGGAAATGATGCACTCTTTCCGCAGGCTATCATGCTTCTTTCATGTATATTGGCTTTCTTGTTAAACTACAGCGTATTTTTGAATACAACCCTTAATTCAGCACTCACACAGACAATATGTGGTAATTTCAAGGTTTGTTTACTAATCTTTTACTAGTTCCTTGTGATAAAGGAAAAGAAACATTCAATCTACTATGCTATATATTATGGAAAATGGTATCTCAGTACTGGTAAAAAAGGGTTTCCCAATTGAATCGATTAGGAAAGCTACCTGAACAACCCTAACTATTTGTATAGGAGATCCTCTGGATTGGGTACTTGTCCATTCTCCTGGTTGACATCAGCCTCATGCCCTGCCTTGTATAGCAGTTTTGCCTAATTAACAATGACCATTTAAATATTAAGTTTTTCTTTGTAGATGTCTATTGAGAAGGCCTTGTGCTTGAACGTATATCAAATGCTTTTTTTTTTTTTTCTGAAATTTCTTCCATAAATAAAGGATGGGGAGGGGAACAGATCAACAGAAAGAAACCTTTTAAGCCATAAACTAAGTTGCCATGTGGGAAATTCCCGGATCATTTTGACTTATTGGCTAAATGACCTTACTATCAAACCTATTCCTCAAGTAGTTTAGAGAGCTTTACTAATAAAAAAAAAGGTAGTTTAGAGAGCTTCCTTTAGTGGCCAAAGAATCTTCCACGTGGCAAATCAGTTTGGAGCTCAAAAGGAGTTCCCCTATTCTACTCTCTATCCTGTATGCATGGTAAAAATTTGGGCCCAGAAAACTTCGCTGCGAGTTCAAATAAATCCTAGGTAACTTTTCAGTGAAAAAAAAAATAAAAAACTTGGATGGCCATTACCAATTGGCAGAACTTTCATACAAAGAAAAGTATGGGCAGAGGTGGATTAGGGAGTGAACACATGGGCAACCCAGAAGGTCTTCTATCTGGGGGATAGATTGGATTAGCCACAGGATTCATCATTCATCCATGTGGTACAGATTGTCGGGCTTCTGTAGGGGAGGCTCCCTCCCTGACTTTATTGGGAAACCTTATTCCATATTGTTCACAAGCCTGGAAAATTTACTGGGTCACAGGTCAAACCATTTGACCACTGGGTTGACCCCGTAACTCATGATGCCATTATTAAAAAAATATATAATATTTATTTAGACAATTTGGGACTGCCAGATGGTCATTATTCTTTTCTCCATGCATGGAGTCTTGGGCTGAACCCTAAGACTGTATTATTTTTGTTAAAAATACATAATTTAATGTATTTGACATCTATATATATGTGGTTCAATTATTTGTATCTTGATATTCACAAATGATAGCTGACCCCATATAGTTGGGAGAAGGCTTGGATGATGATGATATTCACAAATGAAATGCAGGTCTGAAACTTCCCACTGTAATTTGTTAATCGACACTTAGCTGACTTGGGTGGTTCATTGAGAATTGGGTGGTTCATTTTAACTTGTCTGGTTTTCAGAGAACTGTCCTGGTCCATAGTGGCTTTACTGGATTTTCCGAAAATATGAAAACTAGAATTATATAAAACTGAAAAGGCCATTGGTTCCAGGTCTGATCCAAGTCTGACAACATTGACATTAATTTGATTCAGCACATTCTCTTTGGACAATTGGAATAAAAATCTGGACGCCAAATTTCCAATTGGAAGATTCATAGATGCTTGAAATCATTTTTCTACTTCAATTTCTGGCCTAGGAGATTGGTTGGACCTTGTTCATTTACATTAATGTAGTTATAAATTATAATGTTGATGTCATTCATGATTTGATGCTTGAAGTTCTTGTCACCCTTAGGATCTCTTTACCATAGGACTTGGCTGGCTACTGTTTGGTGGGCTTCCATTTGATGTTGTAAGTGTGAACTATGTCTCATGTTGTCTTCTTCATGGTACTCTGTCCGGCCCGAGTTTTTTTTGTCTTGCTAACTTGAACCATATGTCATGTTTTGTTTCCAGTTGAACGTTTTTGGGCAGTTCCTTGGTTTTCTTGGTTCTGGTTTGTATGCCTACTGTAAAATTAAAGGGATTTAAGTAGCAAGCTGTTATCATGGAGCGCGCTCATTATTTGGTCAAGTTGCACAGTCATGGAGTTTTTATCAACGTCTAATTTTGGTTATTGATAACAAACTCCTAGAGCCGTAGAGCGTCTGTGCAAGGATTTGCTTATTAGGGGAATTGATGGCCTGTTTATTTTGCGGTTTTGCCCCATCGTACTCATCTTGGGGTTCAAGAAAGCAGAATAGTGATTGAGAATCTGAGATGGCAACCTGACCGGAGAAGGCATGTTAAGTTCGTGGGTAGCTTTATTTTTGTATGTCTTTATCTCTTTCCTTTTGGGTTTCTCAAAGAACTGATAAAATGCTGAAAATTGGAGAAATGCAAAATGACAAAATGTATGACTTGACTAAAAGTGCTGGTACAGACATGGGTTGATATCTTGCAGTGAACACATCTCACATTTTGTTTTCCAATTCTTTAGTCTTCCAGCAATGTATGAATTCATCAAAATGCTCTAATGTGTTACTTCCAGCAAGGGCCATGACAGAAAATTATCTCTATTTCAGTGTGTTGATTTATTCTTCAGCATTTTTTTTTTCTCCTCAGAAGGTTTGGATGAGAAAAATTGACAATTAGTTAGTGAGATGGAGTAGATTCTTTACCATTTAATCACTCTCTTGGAAAACCCAAGGTGTTTATCAAGAGTTTCCTTTGTTGGTATGTGGCTGGTAGGTGTGGCAATTTCTCACCCAACCCACCCGGTATCTAACCCACCCATTTACTTAGTGGGTTGGAAATGGATTGAATCACCGATTGGATCAATTTAAATGGGTTGGGTTAGGTCGGGTTGTGGATATTCATTGGATTAATCACTAATAATACAACTGTGAATTTTTTAGCCATTTTTCTTTAATTTTTTTCGTTTGAGGGAAACAATTTATAATTAATTCATTAATTTTCAGTAATTAATTATCGACTAAAATTAATTTTGGTTCAAGTCAACATAATTCACCCAAATAGACATGAATCCAAATTCAGTCAAATGGTCCAATCAATTCGTTTAATGGCCCAATTTGGTCCTACTTGATTCTGGCGTGAATGACCCAACTGTTCCCAATTTGAATCAACCCAAACAACCCAACAATCTAAACTGATTCAATTTGGGTCAACCAGATCCAACCCTAGATCAGATCATTTGGGGCATCCTGATCTGACCTGATTTGGACCGGTTTAGGCCGAACCAACTTTGATATGAAATCTAGATGGCATGCTCGACCCATCCCTATTTGGTTTGGGTCAGGTGACTCCATACCAAATATGAACCCATGCCAACATGATTTGGGCTGGTCCAGCTCAAACTGACTTGATCTGGATTGGTTGGACAGTTCTGAATCCATACTGTTTGGACCCAACTTGATTCGAACCTAAATGGTTTGGACCTGGCCTGATTGACCCATCTCGATCTAGTTTGGGTCGGCTGGCTTGGTCCCAAATACAAATTCATGCTCAACTCGATTTGGGCCAGTCCAGATTAAACCAATACATGGCCAAACCGGTCCAGTCCAAATCCAAATAGTTCAATTATTCTTGACGTGGTTAGATCAAATTAAATCTGGTTAGATGGTTCAAGTTGGTCTGGTCGATTTGAACCTAAGTGATTCGCCCAAACCCAAAACCCGAACATAATGGCTCCAAGTGATTAATTTCTTTTTATTCTCCTTATAAAAATAATATGTATGTAATGTGATTTGAACTTTCACTACTTGTGTAAGCAACAACCATTGTTACCACAAAGCCATGATCAACTTATTTATTAAAATTTGAAAGAGAGTTAGTTTTTAGTTTTAATTACCATAAATTAAGTTGTTATAAGGTTGGTGGGTTGAACAGATTAAATTGGATCAAGGGATTTGGGTTGAATCCAACCAATTAAATTTTATTTAAATGAATCAGGGTCAAATGAATTGGGTTGAAGTTGAACCCAAACCCATGCTAGTGGCTGGTGATTAGACCCGTTCATGGGCCAGGCTAGGCTTTCACTCTTCGTTAACAGAATTTTTTCAGGCCCAAGCCTGAGTTCAAAGCCTGACCAACGACCTACAACTTGGGCCTAAGCCTGGTCCTCATAAAAAGCCCGAAGCCCAGGCCCGATCCCAACCTAACAAAATGCTTGAGTTCACCGTTGCCTGAGTTCTCCTCTAAGACTGAGAACTGAGACTTTGAGAGTGAAAACTAAAACTTTATTTGAACAAAACTAAAACTAACAGACCAAAAACTGAAGATAACGACAGAGAGAGAGAGAGAGAGAGAGGAATTGTTGGTGGCGTCGATGGTTGAGTTAGTGAGTTTGCCTCTGAGAGTGGGAGCTGAGGCTCTGAGAGTGAAAACTAAAACTTCGTTAAAACAGAACTAAAACTAACAGACCAAAAACTGAAGATAACGAGAGAGAGAGAGAACCTGGTCACCACCGGAGAGAGTGAGAGGAATCATTGGTGGCGTCGTCGGTGCTTGCATTAGTGAGTTCGCCGCTGAGAGTGGGAACTGAGGCTCTGAGAGTGAGAATGAAAAGTTAGATCGATGGAGAAACTAAGAAAGGATTAGTCGGATTAGGAATTTAGGATTTAAAAAATTAAAAATTATAAAAGTCGGGCCAGACTTTTTTGACAAATTTTGAGCCCAACCTGAAAAATAATCAAGCTGGACTTTTAAGCCTGAGGTCAAGCCCATCCAGGGGCCGGGCCAGGTCGTCGGGCCACCCAGCCCATGAACAGTCTACTGGTGATTAATTAAGCACATCCACGGATCCACTTTGTCAAATTTGTAGTATGAGCTAAAGTTGGACTTATGTTAAAGGAAAAGAAAAAGAGCAGAGAAGACGATTTGTTAGTGCGGTAGTCCAACATTGCCGTTTGTACGATCGCACCATATGTAGGGCCTACTGTATGGCCGCATTCCATATTCGGCTCCACAGTCCACGCCATGGTCCTATACATTGGCCCATTTATTGGTTTATATATGGGCCTCAAATCAAGAGACAACTTGATGGTCCGACACGTTGGGCCATATATGGGGCCCATTGTATGGCTCCATTCCATATGTTGGCCCCACGGCCCCCACCTCATTGTCCTTCTATATCTGGGCTATTTTTATTTGTTCACGTACGGGTGATGGGTCTCACATGTTCTCAAGCAAATAAAAATTTTCTTCTCGAACCCAATAATTTTTTCTCTTGACTTTTTGAAGTAAAAAAGAAAAATATTACATAAAACTATGTATTCATGGACTTACGAAAAAAAATGGAAAAAAAAGGATTGCATGGTTAATAGCTCGTTGATCAAATGAAAAATGAACCCTTTGAGGTGGGGCTCATCTCATTGGTTAGTATGAAGAAACAGTACTGGTAGAGAAAGATGAGCAAATGAGAACTCGGACAGTCGGACTTAGAGGCTTACATTTGCCACCAAACACATAATTGAGTTGACGGCCGTCATTGGAGCTTCAGGCCTTTGGATTAAAAGGTAAGCTAGAAGAAGTTAGAAAAGATAAGAATGGGTAAATAAAAATTCTACCAAATGAGGAAGGATACATGGAAGAAAAAAATGAAGGATACGAGGTTTAAAGTTATATGCTTGGTGTATAGCAACAATTATGGTTTTCAAAATCGGACCGGACTGGATGGTAAATCAGGAACTGGTCACTGGTTCCATTTTACTCAAAATTGTTAATTTGTCCAAAACGTTGATTTGCTCAATAAACTATTGATCCGGGCGATCAAACTATTTAATAATTTTGACCGTTTTTTAATTTTTTATTAAAACAGATTATCTGTTCGGTTTGAATAATCAGACCGTTCAATCCAAAAACCAAACCCCTAACCAGTTCATTGTCCGATTCGATTTTAAAAACCTTGACAACAATAGAGAATTGTGTTTCTTGTCTCCACAACTGACAACTGACTTTTGGCCTAATTGCCCTACACGATTGCAATATAACCCATCAAAAGCTTTTATTGCTACTGTTATTTATTTTGGGTAGGATTATTTTTATTGTTACACTACATTTCATCTCCATTATTTAATGAGAGAGAGAGATATTTTTTTAATATTAAATAGAAATTAGATGGATTATTGTTTTAAGCAAGTATAAAATAATGATACGTGCTCTACAAACCCATGTTTTCAACCCACCACTGACTTAAACTGTTGCCTGGTTGCAATTTTATAAAATCCCAAAATTTTAAAAAACAATTGACTTGATAAAAAACCGTTTGACTTGGGTCATTGAGCCATTAATCCATTCGACCTAGTCACTGAGTCACGGTTTAGCCAATTAGATAAATTGAAATTTTTAGAGGCCATAGCTTTGCGTTTGATTGTCAGATTAAAATGATTTTTATGGTGATTTTGGGATCTATGCATTCCAATGTGGCAAAGGCATCTTGACCCACTATTTTTGCCCAAAAGCCCTTTTTTGGCCTCAAAACCCAATTTTTAGTTTTTTGTAAATAAAAATTTAAAAACTTAAATAAAAATTAAATTAAACATAAAATAATGCATATATTACAAGTAAAATATAATTATATTATTTTATTCATATAATAAAGATAGTCCAACCGATGACCTGCCACTTGGAGACAAAAACAGTTCAGCCTCTGGGTAGGGTTTTAAAAAGAAAATTTAAAAAGAAAACTGACTAATGGAAACTATGAAGTAGTTCATTTTCTTCAACAGGTCTAGGTACGAAAAGTATGTGTGCTTTTTCTTACTGGTTAAATTGAAAAAAGAAAAGAAAACAAAATGACTCTCAATCTGCCTTTAAATGAAAATTTATTGTTATAAAGGAGCCCGGATCTCCTGCCCACGAGAACTCTGCCCACATTTATCGCAACTACACATGGAGAACATCTCATCCTGTGCATAATATTATGCAGGGGGAGATGTTCCCAATTCACGGGGCTAGTGTATTGTGGATAGGTGTGGGCAGGAGATCCGATATCGTTATAAAAATGTGGCTGTTACTTGGAAATACTGTGA